ATACTCCAAAGCAACCCCATTGGATCCGTGCCTTTATAAGTGCCTCCCAAACTTTCATCTTTGGCCACTAAATTATATATAAAGCATATGTCCACATCATGTACTTCATGCATATTGTAATGGTTGATCTGATGTCTGGATCATTGACTACATTTACATGCAATGAGTAAGACTTAATCAGACTTAAACACAGTAAGATGTTTACCTGTCATGATTAAACAAAGAACAACACACTGTGTCTGTAGCTGTAACTATGGGAACACCTCCAGGTGTGACATTGTCTGAATCCCATATAGAAATATGCCAATTAATTGGCTAATGTTGCTGATGCCACCTCCCTGAGGCACTGCATCAACAGCACTCCATAAAGGAAGCGGTTGCACAGTCATTCCCCTAAAAAGCATTAACTCCTTCCCTAAAGCACCATAGTCAGCTATGTAGCATCTCGTTCCCTATTCAGGAAATCAAGGTTAAATACATAACTGAGATGTTCCCTTTTACAGGTTCACTCAGTGCTGTCAAATCAATGAAAGCCAGCCTGCCGTCACAAAATTATCTTCCAAAGGTGCTCCCTAGGAAAGCGCCCAAGATGAAGCCACACCCTTAGTGCATTGTGCTCTAAGGCCTAGACGGGAAGTTAAACCACGCTTCTCATATGTCTCTTAGGAACTGAATCCAGTGGTTCAAACAGAGACCAAGTGAGCTCTTCCAAGATCAAAGACAGGTGCCAGACAGGAAAACCGCCTTGTCCCATGCAATATTCACTACGACTCAAATACCTCCTAGGGGAAATAGCCCTCACATTACTTGTCCTCAAGACTCCATCAAAATTCCCTGAGTTTTGATCAATAAAAAAATCAGAGTGATAGGGAAAGGCTGATTTTGCTTCCTTTATCGAAAATGAGGTGGACCGAGAGCAAAACACATGTGACAAGCATATCCCACATAACATTGTGTTTCACTATGAAGAGATAAGATATCCTCCTTATGCTGCTAGCTGATATACACACACACATTTTTTTCACAGATAACTAAATTTAGCAAGGGCCAGATAAAATTGCTTCCTGAAGACAGGAAATCAGAGAAGTAATGGTGCGGGTGCTTACTTATGAAGCCCTGGTGATGCAGTGCCTCAGGCAGAGGTGTCAGAACCATCAGCCAATAACTTTCCATGTTTCTATCATAGGCGGAGTTTCAC